GTAAAAATATAATGTCGTTGTCCATTGTGTAACGAGATACTCCTCCTTACATGCATCATCATTTAATTCACTTTCAAACTTTTTGGAGCAATTATTTGCCCCATTTAAACAAAAACAAACTTCCTAAATATAACTTTTCTTTTAAGTTATTAATTAGGCTTGAGACAAATTATGGTTTTGCAGATAATGTGTCATGTGCTTTATTTATGGAGGTGATGCAATGAAACAAAACCTAGCATATATCTTGGAAACCCCATCTTCAGATTTTTTTAATTATTAATTCTGGCAAGCAAAACCTTTCTTGAATGATTTTACTTGTTAAATAAGCATGTCAATATAATATTTACAAATTTATAAATAAACTCAATTTTAGACATGTATTTATAAAAAATCTAAACACTATTTAAACATAGAAACACACTCAAAATCAATCTCAAAGTCAACAATTGTATATTTTTTGGGTGTGTTTATAATTGGATTTTGAGTGCGTGTAATTATAAATGGGTTTTGAGTGTGTTTAATGATGAGTTTTGTGTGTATTTATAAAGTGTTTTAGGTGTTAAATTTTTTTATAATTTCAGTTCTCATTTTAAGTGTTTTAGTAAAACTCTCTATAATATTAGTGCTCACCGCAGTCATTGGTGTTTGGTGTTTTTTTTTTTGCACTTAAAAAATAAATTCCACTGTTGTGATTGTGAATGAATGTGAAACGAAAGGCAGTATGACCAAAAAGAAAGGCAGATGTGTCCATCGAAAAAAAGAAAAGAAAAGAAAAGAAAAAGAAAGGCATATGACGGTGAGATGGTGGATCGGATATGCGCAACGCATCCAGTCCAATAATATCTTGTCAAAAAGGGTTTATGTGTTGACCTAAAGACCGCATTAATGAATTCTAAGTGGTTAAGAAATATGTTATAAAATGGGACACCTTTTTGTTTCTTTTAGATGCCGTATTCATTAATCATTCATTCCTCTCATTTTAGTCAAATTTAATTTACATATTCGTTAATGCATTTTTGAATTGCCAAAAATAATCTGAATATTGAATTACAGTTTTTTATTTAGCAAATGAAACCACTTGGAATTTTTTATTTATTTTTTGGGTCTGCATTTCAATATTGAAAATGAGGAAAAGATAGAATAATATCAAAGAACCCAGCAAGCAAACAAACTGATTTTCAGCCACGCTTTCACAGAAAAATCTGGAATTCTCACTCTCTCTCTCTCTCTCTCTCTCTCTCTCTCTCTCAGAATACTACTACAACAAACACAGGCCCTCATTCCACTCAAATATTTTCAGAATCTTCTCACCACAAATTTATCTATCTTTTTCTCTGCATCTTCTACTACTTTCCGATTCCCTCAGCAACTCGCTAAGAAACTGAGCACTAAGAAGAGCACACCCATTATCATTTTCATCATAAGCATGTGCTTGATAGACGCAGAGCAGCTTGGTCAAGAAATGGGGAATATGGAGAATAATAACATCAATACCAACAACAATAACAAGCAGTGGCCTTTGCAATGTGAAATCTTGCACAACCAGACGGAGAATATGGACAAGGAAACTCCTTTAATCAGCTCCAGTCTTCAGAAAACCATGTTAAACTCATTTCAAGTAAAATTTCTTCTTCTTTGACTGCTTAGCTTTATTGGGGTTGTCTCAATTTTGTAACTTTTTAGGATCATTCGGTTGAAATTGAGTTCTGGGTCTTTGTTTGCTTATGTGATGATGATTGACAAAAGTTTCTTTGCCGGTCTTTCTATGTGATTTTTTTTTTCTTTCTGTTGGATTTGTGTGTAGTTGGTCGTGGTCCGGTTGTTGCTCTTTATGTTTTTCTCAATCATTTGGCCTGTCGTGATTACAATTTCATTTTTGTATCACTGCACTACTCAATAATTTTACTTAGAATACCAAATTTTACTGTTGTCATTAGTTTATACTGCATCATGCACGAAAGTTTTCTGCTTGAATTCCTATTTTCTTAATCATGCTCCGCTAATTTGCAGTTCATTTTGGGAAACAGTTGTTTTGGAAATTGTTTTTCCTATTTAGTAAGCTAAGCTGCAATTCTTTGTTTTGCTTTCACTTGTCGGAAGGTGATTCATTTACAAAAATTATGTACTTCCTTATCGTGCTCTGTACAGCCGGATGGTGATGACTAACGTTTGTTTTGATTGGATTGTGTTGTACTGGATCTCTTCTTTTATTATCTGCTCCTTGAGTTCCTTGTCTTGAACTACATTTTATGTTACTCTTTATGCGTTGACTGATTTTGATATTTCACAACATTATACAGTTTTTCATATCCCACAATTTTGTGGGAAACCCGATGATGTTGATGTTTCGATGCAATGTAAACTTTTGTGATTGATTTGAGTTTCATTTTCTGGTTGGAGAACATTTTTTCCAAGGAGAGTGTTGATATTATACTTGGAAATTTTTTTTCCTAATTTACTTTCTTGAGTTTCCAAAATCTGTTTCCTTGACCTGTTAACTTGCAATCCGTCACATTCTGATTCAAGTTCCATCATGTTGTTGGTCTTTTAGCTCGAAAGCATATGTGAGGATACAGTGGTTGTAGACAGAAAACAGAGCCTGCTGAA